CGTCGCGGAGACGGCAAGCTCAATTCGGATGTTGGGGGTCTTCGCGGCATGACGGTGATTCCAGGTCCTTCCGGGTCATCGAACGAATCATTATTGTTCGTTTGGTGCCCGAACACTCACGCAGAGGCTCGGGTGCTCTGCGTTGACTTCCACCCGGATGGATCAGCGAAAGCTCCTGAAGAAGAGGCGTCAGTCACTGCCCTGGTGAAGGAGTATTTGCAGACATCCTGGTTGGGCTACACCCTGGCCGCGTACAACAACATGCCGGCCACAACATTGGGGAGCCTCCCCTGCAACCTCATTGGTTTCGAGATTCATGCACATCCAAATGCCAAAGTGCCCCTGGACCCTGGGCAGCAGGGCGAAGATGGGTATGGTTATTGGTCTGGGGGCGGCATCGTTTGCCGTGTCAGCTCCAGCGACTACTTCGTCACGCAGGTCGGGGGTCCAAAAATACACCCAAGCATCAGCTGTTGAAGAAGGGTTCTAGATGCGCGTGGCAACTTTATAACGTTAGTAATTAGCTTCTTTCTTTTTTTGCCCGTGCTTATTTGGTTCGGGAGTTTCCCCAGGTCGGGGGGCGTGGCGGAGTGAGCCAACCGCTGACTGCTGTGCGTTGCTTCGCCAACTCCCCTTTCCCCAGTGAGCCGAACGCTGTGTATTGCGGGGGGTATGATTGTAACGGTTTCCCCTCCGAGCATACAGCCTGGATTTACAAAGCCACACCGACTTGAAGCGCCAAAGGCAGCAGCTGAGATTGCCTCAGAAGTATGGAGTTACTTGTTCCCGCACCGAAAAAAATAGCTCCACATTATAAGCCCCAAACCTTCATAAATCTAAAGATCGAGACGATTAGACATTCGATTATTCCCTGGTTTTGAAGCGGATACCTAGATCTTAATACCTGAACCGTAGCGAGAGGAGAGCTATCTGAAACCCAGGCAACCTATACCCTAAACCCCTACATTTTTGGAGTTTTGACTTCCCGCTCTGAGATGGAATCCTAAACCAAGTTTAGAAAGGGCTTAAGCGTTTACAGTACAGCATTCAGATTGAGACCCGTGGAGCGCGACATGTCCCCTTGCCCATAAATCGCTAGACCAGCCAGCTGCCATGCTGTTCTTCTTTGTCTTTCCGCACAGCCCTTCCAGGGTTCATGCGCTGTCAAGTCTGGAGGGCTCGAGTTCTGCTGTTAAGCGTTTAAAGGGCCTTTAAGTGTTTGAGTGCGTCAACAACCCAACTGCGTGGGCAGACAGAACCCGCACAAGGTGCGAAAAGTGTGGAATGAACGTCCTTTGCCACTCGAGTGCGAGGACGTGTCACCATAGCTGACCTTGGATTTCGCGTGCTGACTTTTCACCGCGCCTTCACCGGCTCAACGTACCATGTCAGGGTACGGAGTTCAGCTCATTTGAGCAATTATGTAATAATGCAATCGATGTGTCTGGAGCAGTGTCCGGTTGCTTTCATCAAAACATGAGCTGCGAGAAACTGAAGTAGGTTTGAGAAACTCGCCGCACCAACCGACGACGCCGAGGTTTACCGAGCTTGCCATTGTCGGTAGTCTTGTCGGTGGCAGCTCGCCAGCATCCGAGTACGAA